TTGGTTGCGCCACTTTGAGAATGGACCGTGCGCTGGAAGCAGCTGCCTGGATCGCTGCGTAACAATGCGCTGTGCCGCTCTCTGCTCAAAAGAGTCCAAAAATGATATAATATAGAAAACTTTTTTCCGGCTCCCCTGATGTGTAGGATATACAGCTCCCCCATAATTCGATCCCTGCTCCTGGATGAAAAGCCGGACATTTTCATCAATACAAGAACCCCCAGTCCGGACGCGCCGGACAGAGAGTAAAAAGTGGACATGTCCGGGGAAAACGGAACGTATGGTCACCATAGTCCTCATAAAGCGGGAAATTATAGATACAGTATTTTGCTCGTGCCCTGGGCCCTTTAGAGTTCGTGGGCTCTGGGCAATTGCCCAGTTAATCCGGCCTTGGGCGGAACCGGTTCGCAGCAGCGCAAGTCTGCCGGCTCTCCCTCGCGCTGATCTGACTTGCTCTGCGCGCAACGGCGGGCGGGAAGGGGGGGGGGCGCTTTTGGGAGAGTTGTGCGACACAACGAATCGATGACGCAATTCGTTGCCAATGCTTTTAGTAATCGATTTTCATCGAATTTATCGATTCGTTGTTGCAGCCCTAATGTCCATGTCAGGATCATTATGCGTTCAGGAAAGCAACTGTAATGTAATTATTACCACTTGAGACAGTAACTGTGAAGGAATACAGTTACTTATAATAAATAGGTAACAGCAGTACATGTAAGCCATTACTCTGCAACACTGGATACAAGGCACTTCTGTTGTGATCGTGTCACAGCCCAGCCCTACTAGCAGCTAAGACCAGGATGTTATTATTAAAATGTCTTTCTCATAAAGAAATAAGCTGTTAGGTCTGGCTGCCAATGGTTGTTTGAGCATGTGGATTATAATACCACACTAATCAAGAGCAACACAACTCATGTCTATCACACACATACTCTAACAGATATGATACCGGTGCTAGATGTCACTCGCTCATCTGAGACATTGGATAGAGCAGCAGAGAAGAAGCAGCTTAAGACTCTAATTTGTTCATTGGCCCATAAAACACATCTGAACAGAGAAGAATGCTGAGGCCAAGATTCAAAGAGCAGTTTTTGTCCTTGTTCTCTGGACTGTCCCTGCAGGGCAGAAAGCCATGACTAAACTACCCATAGATAATTCTAACAATTTTAGCCTCTTCTTTAAAGACCAAGTTCACTGAGAAACCGTTACTTATTTTTTTTAAATACACTTAAAGGGGCATTGTGGAAGTTTGACAGCCAAAACATGTATAGAAATAATAAATGTCTTCTTCATACATTCTCCTGCAATGCCCTGGTCCTGTAGAATGAACCCTGGCATTTTTACTGTGATTGCCTGTTTTTCTGTAAAATCACAGAAAAAGAGAGCTGCTTGGGTCGAGCAGGCTGCTTCATGCGTGTTCACGCTCAGGCATAGCCCGTAGCATTTGCTATCCGTAGCTTTAGCAGCAGAGAGAGAGGCAGTGCCACTTTGTCGCTGTTCCTAACGCCTAGTGATGAACATAGCTACATTTCTGAGGACCCTTAGCTACTTTCTTCTAGATATTTCCTGCAAAATAGCAACAAAATAGCCATTTTCGCTCCGAACCGTTCTTTGAACGTTGTTTTAGCTGTAATCAAGGATATAAATGTTACAGATACCAAATACATCATTGGTGCTTCAGCTCACCTAGTAAGACGTCGGACTTTCATGCAGGAGACCCGGGTTCGATTCTGGATGTGAACATAGTTTATTTAGAGTTTCTTTTTTACATTAATGGTATATTTTTTTAAAGTAAGATGTCCAAATTTTTATTTGAGACTCGCCGAATGGCATTGAATTCACAGATAAAAAAGATGTGGGCTCAACTTTCATTTTGGAACAATTTTTCAAGCAAGGGAAGGGAATGATCTGAGCATGCAGGAGGACTGACCCATCTTAAACCTTTGTCGGCTGTGCTGAAGAGAAAGGTACAGAACCAAATTATTTAATTAATTAGCTGTGCATTCTCCTGTCCTCTGTCCTCCGGGCCACACACACGGTATTTTCGTTAAGTGTGTGCACGTACAGCATGCGCGCCTCGTGCACGAGCCTACTATTGAAGCTGCCGTTACGCTTTTGGCCTGAGGGGGCAATCGCGAGCATAAATTTTCAAAACTCCATAAAGTCCCTTTAACAAATCTGAGACCATGGTCTTGAGTCAGAAAAGGTTAGAAAACCTTCTCTGGGTCAGGGATGAGGTCCTGCCCCAAGTGGAGGAGTTTAAGTATCTCGGGGTCTTGTTCACGAGTGAGGGAAAACTGGAGTGTGAGATCGATAGGCGGATTGGTGCTGCATCTGCAGTGATGCGGGCGTTGTACCGGTCAGTCGTGGTGAAGAGAGAGCTGAGTCAGAAGGCGAAGCTCTCGATTTACCGGTCGATCTACGTTCCTACCCTCACCTATGGTCACGAGCTTTGGGTAGTGACCAAAAGAACGAGATCGCAGATACAAGCGGCCGAAATAAGTTTTCTCCGAAGAGTGGCTGGGCTCTCCCTTAGAGATAGGGTGAGAAGCTCTGTCATCCGGGAGGGGCTCGGAGTAGATTCGCTGCTCCTCCACATTGAGAGGACCCAGTTGAGGTGGCTCGGGCATCTGGTCAGGATGCCTCCTGGACGCCTCCCTGGTGAGGTTTTCCGGGCACGTCCAACCGGGAGGAGACCTAAAGGTAGACCCAGGACACGGTGGAGGGACTATGTCTCTCACCTGGCCAGGGAATGCCTTGGGGTTCCCCAGAGGAGCTGGCCCAAGTGGCTGGGGAGAGGGAAGTCTGGGCCTCTCGTCTTAGGCTACTGCCCCCGCGACCCGACTCCGGATAAGCGAAAGAAAATGGATGGATGGACTTAACAAAAATATTAACGCACCACTTTTGTTTTTGCTCCCATTTTTCCTGAGCTGAACTCAAAGATCTGAAACTTTTTCTAAATTCAGAATAGACTCATTACTCTCAAATCTTTCTAGTTCTGTGTTTGTGAGCACTTCTCCTTCACTGAGATAATCCATACCACCTCACAGGTGTGGCATATCGAGCCAGTCTCCCAAATTCCTACTGAGTAAAACTGGTTCATAAATCCAGTTAAGCGTTGCTCTTGTCTAGCTGAGAGTTACTGGTGCAGCAGCAGCAGCAGCCTGGTCTTCTGGTGAATGGAGCTGTTGAACATCCTGGTTGTGTTTGATTAGATGGAGTGGTATCTCCTTCCAGCTGCAGCTGCCATAAAAAGAAGTAGCATAGCAGGTCCTAAGGTAGGGGGGTTCTGCTATGCTTCTCTAGAGAAATACCATCCTTTGCTTAGTCAGGTGAGATACTGAGAGTTCAGTGAAGATCCTTTAGGAGATGGACACTCCAAACGATTACTGTGACTCAAAACAATTCAAATCTGACCCTGAAACACCCTGTAAACATGGCCAGGTGGTAGCTAGGGGTTGCAAAAGCAATGGCAAGATCAGGCCAAGCAACTCCAACTCCTGAACTGATGACATCAGACTTTTGTCTGAGATTTAAAGGGATATTCCACCCAAAATTTTAATTTTGTCTGTTGACATATTTCCCAGACAAGTCTAACAAAAAACAAACAACGGTGGTTTGCAAAATTTGCAGAGAATCGATGAAAACCAAGTCTGGTAAAACAACCAGCTTGTCTTTTTAATCGATACGCTTTTTTCTATATCGTCCATCCCTAACAGCTGTAAGCCTCCACATAAAAGTATAAGGCAGCCACAAAGACACCTGCTTCTGTAAACACACACACTCATTGTTAGCGAACCAGCATAAAATGCACACACACACACACACACCAATGTCACCACCTGGATTTAATTAAGAAAATATGTAGGGGCCTCTTATTGGATAATTACTGCAACAAGTTATTCAACCCAACTCGTTCAATGAGTTGCTTCTCATTTCTTAAACAACCATGTGGAAAGACACATCTGGTGGTCATGGAAAAGATCTGTGTGAGAAGGGTCAGATCACTGACATCAAGCAAAGTAAACATCTGAGGAGATGTAGAAACAACTAAAACTGGGTTAAGAACTGTCCAACGCTTTATTAAAACTGGTCTGATGAGTCCAGATGGGCCCTGTTCCAGAGTGATGGTGCATCAGGGTAAGAAGAGAGGCAGATGAAGTGATGTACCCATCAAGCCTAGTGCCTACTGTACAAGCCTGTGGGGGCAGTGCTATGATCTGGGCTTGCTGCAGGCGGTCAGGTCTAGGTTCAGCAACAGGGTGTGCGCCAAGAATGACGTCAGCTGACTACCTGAATATGCTGAATGACCAGATAATTCCATCTTCCCTGATGGCACGGCCATACTCCAGGATGACAATGCCAGGATTCATTGGGGTCAAATAGTGAGAGATTGGTTCAGGGAGCATGAGACATCATTTTCACACTTGGATCGGCCACCACAGAGTCCAGACCTTAACCCCGTGGAGAATCTTTGGGATGTGCTGGAGAAGGCTTTGTGCAGCGGTAAGACTCTAACATCATCAATGAAAGATCTTGGTGGAACATTAATGCAACACAGGATGGAGATAAATCTGGTGACGCTGCAGAAGCTTATCGAAACAACGCCACAGCGAATGTGAGTCCTAATCAAAGCAAAACGCGGTCAAATTAAATATTAGTGTGACTTGTTTTTGGATGGGCAGTATGAATAAACTTTACTTACACACGCGCGCGCGCACACACACACACACGCACACACGCTCACACACGCGCGCGCACATGCTGATTGATTCAGTTCCTAAATAATGATTTAGTTTGTTTCAGCCTCTGACGTTTGAATAAATCAAACTTTAGGTTGTTTAATGAACGTTCACGGCATCTTCTCCATATCTTAATCAACAAGTTTCTCCTCTTAATGTTTCAAAAACAGACAATCAGCCTAAAACTCTCGCGGGTGGAAGGATTCTTCTTTAATACCAGCCTGCGGGCTTCAAGTATAGCATTACCGAGCCACATACCTTCAAAATCTGATAAAATCCCTGCGAGATGCTTGTTGACTGGAGGCTCCGACATTCTGTCCCGACTGAGGCTCCGGGTCCGACAACAAACTAACCGGAGGACACGTCCGAACTGGTGCTGGTACCGGGCTGAGCTGGTCCTCTACCGAGCGGGTCCTCGCTAGTCGCAGGGGTCCAGGTCTGTCTACCTCGCACCCCTCCCCCCTGCTCGGGCTGAAGCCGCTGGGGTCCGGGGCGGGAGGGGGATTTGACCGGTGGGCGGGGCCAAAGACGACACCTGAAAGAAAAGGTACCCCACACACACACACACGCACGCACGCACGCACACACACACACACACACACAGACACACACACACACACACACACACACACACACACACACACACACACACACACACATACATGTTTTTATGGGTTTGTGTGGACTAAGTTTTCTGAGTTTTTTGTGTGGACCCTGACTTCCACTATAGCTAGAATGGTGCAAAAATTATGTTTGCCTCTAGGTGGGAGTAGAGATTCAGAATGTCACCTAAAATATGGGAAAACTCAAACTAAAAGCTTGTATTTATTTACAGTCATTGTGTGGACATACTCCTGTTGCCGGGCAGATTTGCGCTTTTCTTCACATCAAAATTTCTATTCAAACCAAACTATCTCATGCAAAATTTATATAAATACACATAGATACATATGCATACACACAAATACATATACACACACACACATATATATATATATATATATATATATATATATATATATATATATATATATATATATATATATATATATATATATATATATATATATATTATTTTTTTGACAGTTTGATAGATACAAATGAATTTTTTATTAGATGGATATATAGATAAATATATAATGTATTTGACACAGATAAAAATGAATTTATTAGACAGACAGACAGAGACCGATAGACAGATAGACGATAGATAGACGATAGACAGACAGACAGACAGACAGACAGACAGACAGACAGACAGACAGACAGACAGACAGACAGACAGATAGATAAATAGATAGATAGATAGATTCTAGCAAGTTTAGCAGCTACAGTGCTGGGATTTTTACATTTATCTATTACATTTTATTTGTCAAGTACAAAAATTAAATCATTCTTCCCGATTTTTACGTTTAGATTATATATAAACTTTAGACTAATTCATGCAGTTTCATTAAAAAGAAACAATTTCTTTGCAAAGCATCCTTTTATTAAATTAAACAGAAAAACAAGGATTTTTTTTAAAATCCTATAAATAGCTGGACATTTTAAATGACAGCTTTCGTTATTTTAACTTCAATTGCTTTTGAAAAATAAACTGGGGGAAAAAGTGGCTTTTAAAATGTAGTTTTTATGATTGTAGCCAGTGTGAACATACATCTGTTCCAAATTTAAAAATATATATATATATAAAAGCTTAGAAACATGCCTAGCATCAACACACCTAGGCCTCATTGTGTCACACCAATAGAACTCCACCTCACAACACTGAGACATGTGAACCACGAACAATCATGCGAACGCAAACAGTTTACAACCGTTTCCTCTTCTGTGCTGTGATGGAGTTGTAGACATGGTTTTTAATATCTTTCCAGGTTCTACTCTTGAGCACTGGCTCTGTCTTAAGTGCCTTAAGGTACTTTACCAGGAATGGTCTCTAAGGTTATGTACTTTCCAAGCTGTCGCCATACTGCTGCTTTCTCAGCTGAACTCCAAGGCCTTTTTTTCACCCCTTGTTTGGTGAGAAGAAGCTGATCCAGTTCTGCAACAGAAATCACAAGTAGGAAATATTTAAGGATGTTTGATGGTTAGGGATATTTATTATAACTTTTCAATTAGTTTTAAATATATGAAGCAACTGAAACTGTATTAATGCATTATATTCTAAGTCTCAAAATATATATTATTTTGCTCGCTAATAAATTTGGTAATACTAATACATGACTTGGATCTTATGATACAACATAGTATATTGCAACAAAATGAAAAGTGTCATACACTTATTTTAACTGCAATTTTTCTTGATTCTGTTTATATATATATATATATATATATATATATATATATGTATATATAACCCTAACCCTAACCCATTGAAGACAGTATTAAACTATAATGAGTGTTTGTCAGCTGTCTCATACTCATTATTTGTTCACGTAACGTAGTTTAGGACTTTAGAGAGAGAGAGAGACGCCTGTCATCCTTTTCAGAAGCTCAGGGCGGGCTGCTGTGAGCTGGTTCTGACCCAGAAACCAGCTAGACTGGGCTGCTGGTATTTTTTAAAAGCTGCCCATCCTCTTCTGGAGGTCGGGGCGGGCGGTCCGACCCTGATCTATGCTCCAGAAGCCCGCAGGTTATTTTCAAAAGCCTCCCCTCTGAGGATGGCATGCTTGTTGAACTCCATCACATCACTGGGATTGTAACCCTCTGGTCTGAAGTGTTCACCACAACGACCGCATTTTTTTAAGCTGAAGCAGAAAAGGAAGTCTCATATTTTCAGCTGCAAAAAATACCTCCAATGCACAGAAGATAGTGCTGTTGTTTTTCTTATTTGGAAACCCGAGGACTCGATGTCCATATAGGCTGGAGTTTGTATACCCACCACAAACAATAGTTTATCAAAATGAACACAATTCTAAACTAGTGAACACACACACTGACTCAATAACATGATCTCTCTACCCTAAAACTACCTACCTGCCACACTGAGCTGAGGCAGCGCCAAGCTTATGACTCCCTCTGGCTATATCAGAGGCTAAGATTTAGAAAAAAAAGAGTGTTTGTAGAAGCTTTGCTGAAAAATAGCACTTTTTACTCGAAAATTTATGCGGTTATGTACTTTAAAACTCATAAGCATTTCAAATTGTACTTTTTGGACAGCATTTTACATGAATTTTAAAAAATAACCTGCAATTTGCTCTTTAATGGCCTTGGTTGCTGGTGGTGGTCAAAGTGAACCGGCGGTGCCTAATGTGCTTGTCAGTAGGAGCCACAACTTTTAACACAACATGAGCCCAAAGACACAAATGTAGAAATGTACCTGTCTTCTTTTTCTTCTTGAAGCCCTCTGTTGGTTCTGCAGATTTGGAGCTTTGGCTCAACAGTTTTGCCTGATCTGAAAAAAAAAAACATGCAGAACATATTGGTAACCAATATGATAGCAACAAGATTTATGTAACATCAGACTTCAGTAAGCCTTGTGCTATCTCACCATCTGAATCTTCAGCTGATTCAACAATCTTTCTTGGCCTTTTTCCTTTGTAGGTCCCTTCAATGAGGTGAAAAACAACTGTAAGTTTAAGGTTTGACTTCATCTAGTTTTGACTCACATGAGACAACTGTAGGAGATAATGGCAAACAGTAGTTGAGCTCTGAGGAAAAAACAATCTTAGGTCATGCACATATTGATGAAACACTTTGAAGCCTTTAATTGTGTTTTGTTTTATTCTAGAAGAGGGAAAACAATTATTACAATTAGAAGTCCATTTCATAAAACAATATTGCCACTATGCCGCAAAAACTGAGCTGGTATCAGGAAGCATTTGGTTGTTCATAAGTGGACAGTCTGAGGCAGCAATGTGGCGTGATCATGTGTTTTTTACTAATGATTATGTGATGGCGGTGGGGGCGGTTCTCCAGACTGTTGACGTGCTGTCACTTGCTTTTATCTTGATTGAACCAACGCTCCTTAAAGTGAGAGTAACACCTAAATCAACTTGTTTTGCTGAAAACCTGTATGGATTAGTGTCTAATAGTGCTGTAGACATGCATAATCATTATTGTGGCAGTTTAGTGCAACTTATTTAAAATGTAATAATTCTGCCTAAAGCCATAATTCTATCTCTATCTTCAGGTTAATTCTCTGCTCCGCATGGATTTAGAATCAGCCACAGCTGATGGCTATAGAGCTGCAGGGTGACGTTGTCTGTACCGAACTACGTGGCTGTACTGCACTGGACTCTAGCTGAGTCTCGGCCGCAACTCCACCCGGCTCAACCACTCACCTGCTGATATGACACGTTATGGCTCGGAGTCACTCGCCTCCTTAAAAAATCCAACTCCTCCTCCTTCTTTCTTTTAGAGATCAAGGTGGACAGATAGTCTTCCAGCCTGAGTTTGTTTCTGTGTTTTCTCTTCTCCTGAGTTGTGAGACTTATGTGTGTGTGTGCTCGTTTGCACGCATGAGTGTGCGCGCAGTTGTTAATGACTCGTTTTTTCGACTGAGAAACTCGGAGAGCACACATGGGGAGGCTGAGTGAGGTGCTGTCAATCACTACCTCAGTCACTCTCTTGTTCCTCCAGGTGACACCTCCTTTAGAAGCATTTTTCTAATAGGAAGTGTGAGTGACCCAAAATTACTGACTACCAACTTCCTCAGAGGAGTTAGTTTTTTTGTAAAATCATTGCAGTTTCTGTGTAAGGTGTATTGATGCTCCTCAATATGTTACTGCTACTACATTCAAGAGAAAGGGAGGCAGACAACAAGGATGAGATGCTAAAGACCTGCAGGAGTATGAGAGGAGTTAAGTTCCTGCCATTAACCAGAGGGATGCAGGTTCACACAGCGTTCTGGCTGTCACAGTCCTGCTTTTGGGCAACACACTTCACCCACATTGCTTGCTGGTGGTGGTCAAAGTGAACCGGCAGTGTCTAATTTGCTTGTCAGTAGGAGCCACAACTTTTAACACAACATGAGCCCAAAGACACAAATTTAGAAATGTACCTGTCTTCTTTTTCTTCTTGAAGCCCTCTGTTGGTTCTGCAGATTTGGAGCTTAGGCTCAACAGTTCTGCCTGATCTGAAAAAAAAAAACCAAAAAAACATGCAGAACATATTGGTAACCAATATGATAGCAACAAGATTTATGTAACATCAGACTTCAGTAAACCTTGTGCTGTCTCATCATGTGAATCTTCAGGTGATTCAACAATCTTTCTTGACCTTTTTACTTTGTAGGTACCTTCAATGAGAAGAAAAACAACTGTAAGTTTAAGGTTCGACTTCATCTAGCTTTGACTCACATGAGAAACAAATGTAGATGATGGCAAACAATAGACCGTTGAGAAAAAATTTGATTAAAGTGTAACCTTTATTTAATGTTTATATAATTCATGTGTTTGTTATTTCATTATTTTGGTCAGTACAGTAATGCTTGTGATTATGTAGATTTGAGTTCTGGGTAAAAGAGGCTGATCTGTTTACATCACCTACTGGTGGATTAGGGGAAAGAAGACATGCTGTGTTAACAGAAAAGCGTAGGAGAGAAAAAAGGAGGAAGTGGAGTAGCAGCGGCTAACTGCGCGTTTGAGTTTTCTGTCCTGCCGTTCGGAAATAAAGAAGAATTATAAAACCCAACTGTAGCCTGTCTACCATGTACTACCGAGAGCCGGCAACCTATCTACAAAATAACGGTTACAAAAGTCCTCTTCTAGAAGAGAATACCAAATTTTACAATTATAGGCACACTATGACTCTGCACCTGTTTCTGGATGAAAGACTACATCACTGAACTCACACAGAGTCAAAACTGGCCTGTATACCTATATACCCCTTCATTACTGGCTCCCCAAAGAGCAGTGTGTTGAGCCCCTCCCTCTTCTCTCTGTACACCAAATTACCCATCAAACCATCATCAAATATGAATAAGACACAACCATCATTGGACTCATCTCTGAGGAAGATGAGTACACAAAGTGGAGCTAGTGCAGTCCTTCAAATTCCTGGGCATTAATCTCTCTGAGGACCTCACCTGAAAATTACACCACCCAGCAAAGGCTGTACTTTCCCCTGGATGGATCTGGTTAGTGAGCTACATCTTTCTGGCCTGTGAGCTGCATATTGTGGACCGCTAGACGTAATTGTTTTCACTAAATTCTAGGGATGCTCTATATTGTCTTTTTTACCGATATCTGATCTACCAACATTGTCGACTCGTAATTTCCTATAAAAATGCTCGATATATGCTCTCACAAAAAAAGGAAAACTAAAACATTTTAGGTTTTCAACATCTCTGATCATTTATCATGCATGCTTATATTTTAAACATTTTCTGTGCAAAATGACAACTACTTCAATAAGTAACAGGAAAAGTGCCATATTGATATTGTCTCCAACAGCAGCTGAATCTCTTTCTCCCCAAGTGAGACACTAAGATGGTGTATTAGTTGGTAATGGATTTTTTCTTAATCTGTAAATTGCAACTAAGATGATAAAACATTTATAAAGATCTTTAGATGAGAAAAGTAAGCCTTGGGTGAATATTCTTTTTGTTGTTTTAGTGGTTTTAGTGGTAAAAGTTGGGTCATTAAACGACTGAAAACGATACATATTTTCCGATATTAAATTTTAATGGCGATATCGGCCAACATTAATGTTAGACCAATATCTGACATCCCGTCATGCCATCAGGATGCAGTGTAGTATCATATGTGCTTCTCGTCATTAGACAGTACTGAGCTACAGCCAGAGCTGCTGTCCTTAAGTTCTATTAAGCTCGGAGCGGTGCGCTGTTTGAGAGTGACTACTGCACAATGGAAGAAAAAGCACCGCAGAATGGCAGTGGAGAGGTTTACTCAAGAAAATTGCTGCACACCAGCGCACACCAGGAGAGGATCAGCCACGAAGCAGCTGCTTCGATGTGCTCCTCATTCGACTTGCGAGATCACATGATCCCTAGAGATTTCACAGGCTACAGTTTATTTATGCCGTCCGCCATTAAACCAAAAAGAAGGAAATCACGTTGTTATCACTGTTTGATGTCATATATGATGGAATATGATACTAGGAGTAAATAAGCCAATCACACGTAGGCTTCATTTATGTGACATTGCATCGCTGCAATACTTTTACCATGGATTTTACACTGAAACTGTGTGTGATTTCCCGTCTAGCCCAACGGTAACTGCGGAAATTGGTGCATCCCAGGAGTGGCTCACAGAAAAATTAGAACACGATCTTATCTTTAGCGCCTCGGCATGCCGCTCCTGGGCCGCGTCTGAAAATTGCCATGACGCAGCTTGTTTGTGACACTCCATATACTATTATGGACTCTATTGCAAGCGGTGCCACGCCGCTGGCGTTCCACGGCGCTTTTGCTGCCAGTGTGCAGTAGGCTTGAGAGTTCAGCATGGTGTGTATATGCAAATCTTTAAACTAGCAAAAATGAAACGAGTATATGATAAAATACACAGAAATTTAAACCCAACACCCAACAGCACAAAGACAAATGAAGAAAAAATGTACCTATCTTATATTTCTTCTTGATGTCCTCTGATGGTTCTGCATATTTTGAGCACTGGCTCAGTGGTTCTCCCTGATCTGAAAAATAAAGAACATTCAGAATATATTAGTAACCAAAGTGAATCAACTACATTTATGTACCAAATCACACTGCAGTGAGTCTACGGGTTTCAGCAAGAAGGAAAGAAAAGCTGTAAAGACAGTAGTGAGAGCAGTCATGTTGTCTGGTTAAGAAACGGCATAAACGAAGAAAAGACGGGAGGTAGAAGAGGTTGCAGAGCTCAAAATGTTGAGGTTATCTTTGGGAGTGATGAGGATGGAAAGGATCAGGAACGATTGTCACATCTATGTAAAATCCATCTGCAGTGAACCTTGTGATGTCTCACCATCTGAATCTTCAGCTGGTTCAACCTTCTTCCTTGGCCCTTTTCCTCTGTACGTCACTTCAAAGAGAAGAAAAACAGTTGTAAAATCAAGTGTGACCTTATGATCATTAGGTACTTTAGCCAAGCAAAAGTTTACCTCTTTTTCCTGCTGTCTGTCTGTGATCATCTGATGGTTCTGCTCTTGTGGGCCTCTGAGTCAGAATGTCAGGTTCTACAAGACAAAACATTCATGAACATCAATCCTGTCTGACAGATACCAAATAAAATGCTCAAATGTTATCAAATAAGTAAGAAAAAAAAACTTTTTTACCTCACTAAATCCTACAATAATTTTTTAATGCCATAAAACTAAAATAACGAACTGACCCCTTCTTTCCACCGGAGCCGTCAGCAGCACGTTACTGCAGCAGCACATCTTGCTCGCGTAAGCTGCTGCTTGGCCCTTCCCACAAGACGCGAAGCAGCAGGGGAGCAGCTGTCACCGACAGAGCACGAAGTCACACAAGTGACTTCGTCAGTAAACACAAGCAGGAGAAAACTACAACATGGCTCCAAAAGGTTTGTGTTTTATGTTCTGTCCGTTTTATAATTGCCAATACGGACCTGAAAAACAAAGGAGACCGCTAGCTAGGTGATAACTTCTCACGGGGCCGCACAGTTAGTAACTTTTTTTAAAGTAAAGCAACCGGAAGGCAGTACATTTCTTAATTCTGAAAATCTCGGGAGCTTCGCTCCGTTTCCGCATCCGATTTCCTGTCTTTCCTTCCCCAAAAATGTCGAACTTGACCCGTTTCAGAGGCGTTGCGCGTAGAAAATAGAACCGGCGCATAAGGACGGCAACATGCTGCTGACGGCTCCGGTGGAAAAGATTCTGTTGACCACAGCGGTTCCTTTCAGCAGCTAAGACGTGCTGCTGCAGTAACGTGCTGCTGACGGCTCCGGTGGAAAGAAGGGGTAATAGTCAATGGATAACTGAAAATCAATGAGAACTGTTACAGTTGATCACTAAGCAAAACATTTTTTCAATTCTACAAATCGTTTAGTTCCACTTTTCTGTTCTTATCTCATACAGAGTAGCAAAGTTTCTGTTTTTAGCTTATTTTGCTGACAGTTTCAGCTACTTCCCGAAGGTGACAGGAAGTACCCAAAACTGTCAGCAACATAAGGTAAAACATAAACTTTGCTACTCTGTATGAGACAAGATCAGAAAAATTGAACTAGAAAAGAAACACAGAAAGAACATAAGGAGTTTTAAAGAAAAATACTAATATTTTTTTTCTCTGTGGCACTCTATTTCTTTCACATATACACAATTTGAATTAGTATCTCAAACTATTGACTATTCATTTGAAATGTGACTGAACACATGGTCATCATTTAGCCTTTAGTGCAAGTTTTAACGGTAACACATGACCTACCCTCATCATCTTCATATTCCTCCGGATTTTCTTCCTCAGTATCTGCATTGTAATGCATGTCCAGAGCTTCATTACTTTTACCACTGTCCATCAGTGTCTTCTGTTCATGAACATAGCTTTGGCTGAGAGAGGTTTTGCCAGGGTTTTTTAATGCATCATGTGTCTTCATGAGCTTAGGCTGTGAAAAGGTTAGTTCATCCTCTGAGGAAGGAGGAGCTGATGGGATATAATCACTGTCCAAATCATGGCTGGAGTCTGAGAGAAAGTCCTCTGAAGCAGAAAGCTCCTGAAAGAAATAGAGCAAAGACTCAAGTTTAGGACAGGAATTTCTAAACCACAATTCTTAACTTAACCTTTAATTACACTTCAGAAAAATATTTCCAGCTGCTGACTTTGGTTCATTCTTGCACTTCTTACCTTGCTGCTGTATTTTCAAAAAATTTTCTCCAAAATACGTTTAGCTCTAATATAGTGCTGAACGATAATTCAATAGTTCAATATATCTATCGATAGACATGTGGTGCGATAGATAAAAAAACTGGTCAATAAAACTTCAATTAAAAAGTTTCCTTTTTTCATTATAACCTATCAGGTAGCAGCATACTAGACTCACTACTTAAGCTTGGTTTATGCTTGACGCATTTACTTTCCGCTTGGTGATGCGGCTCGCGGATGAAACGCGCTTCACAAATTGCAGTGTTTATGGTTCATGCGGCTTGTCTCTGCGGTGAGCCAATATTCTCCCAAACTGAATGGGGCAGCATGGAGCTCTACGGCATGCATCCAACACTACACCATAGAAGAAGTAAAAATTACTGTTGTTTACAACATGGCATTCAAGCATTTTTTAACAGCATCCTCATCTTTTCTGACAGTGCGAGCTATTTCTCTCCAAAAATTATTAACAACATGTTGATCACGGTGATCTCTGAGAGCTGAATCATACAAATGTCTATTTACGAACCTCTGCCATACTAGTTCTTGCCAGTCCGCCATGTTTTTCCGCGTCCGACCGTCCGCGTGGTTAGAAAATTTCCTAGGTGTGCGTTGCGGAAAGTTTGGGCCGTGCGGAGGCGCGGTGGAGGGGCGTGGTTGTTAAAATGACGGAACTTTTCCGCGTGGAGCCGTGCGGACCTCGCGGACGCGTCAAACATTAACCAACCTTCACTCCTAACCAATCAAAACCACAGACTCGGCACGCTACGTCACCAGGCCCTCCCCTCTCAAACCAAAAGAGAGCGAAAGGAAGCAAGATGTCTAGGGCTGCCATGATTAGTCGACTCGTCACGACAACGCAGACAAATAAAATAAACCTTATTTTATAAACAATTTTTTAAAATGTCGCCTGCTGCGGCACGTTGGGCTCTTGCTTCCTGCCTCTCTGCTCAGCCACCACTTTGGCTCCAAGGCGCATGCGCAATGGTGGCCATCCAGCTCAGCCTTCATCATCGGAGAAAGTGTCGAGTCGCAACATATCTGAAAAGTTTGGGAGCATTATACTAATTCAAAAGAAAGCCACATGGTGCAAACTATGCAAAGCAAAACTCTTTCACAGGAGCACATCGGCGATGCACGAGCATCTTAAGAGGAAGAACAGAGTCGCCTCGGTAAGTTTACCTCTTGTTAGCAGCTGACATCAACAGAGTTTGTTTATGTTTATGTATTTAGCAGACGCTTTTGTCCAAAGCGACTTACAAGTGATAATCGGCATGTTGCCCTTGAACAACAACAACAACAACAACAACTTGACATCAGTCATGGGGAGGAGGGAACAAGGAGTGGACAGTAGAGAGGGGGACGGGTGCAGGGAAGGTGCAAGTTTAGAAGATGCTCTCTGAAGAGCAGGGTCTTCAGGAGTTTCTTGACAATTGAAATGGAAGCCCCTGTTCTGGTAGTGCTTAGTAGGTCATTCCACATTTGTGAAACGATGCATGAGAAGAGTCTGGATTGTCCTGAGCGTGGTGTAGGCACTGCTAGTCGACGATCCTGTGATGACCGGAGCGGCCAGGCCGAGACGTAAGCCTTTGCAAGAGGATTCAGGTAGATGGGAGCCGTACCATCTCGGACTTTGTATGCTAGTGTTAGCAGTTTGAATTTGATGTGTGCTGCTAGCGGTAGCCAGTGGAGCTCAATGAACAGAGGGGTGACTTGTGCTCTTTTTGGCTATTTGAAGACCAGACACACCGCTTCATTCTGGACCATTTGAAGAGGTCTCACAGTACAGCCTGGAAGACCAATTAGAAGGGCATTGCAGTAATCGAGGCGGGAAATGACAGTAGATTGCACCAGGACCTGAGTGGCATGTTGTGTTAGGTATGGTCTGATCTTTCGTATGTTATACAGCGCAAAGCGGCATGAACGAGCAACAGAGGCAACACGATCTTTAAAGGTCAGGTGTTCATCCAGATTTCGAACTGCCTTTGAAGGAGCCAGAGATAGGAAGTCATTTTGGATTGAGATATTGTGCTGTATGGATGGGTTTGCTGGGATGACAAGTAGTTCAGTTTTAGAGAGGTTGAGTTGGAAATGGTGGGATTTCATCCATTTTGATATGTCAGAGAGACAGTTTGATATTCGTGCAGAGACAGTGTGGTCGTCCGGTGGAAATGACAGATAGAGCTGGGTGTCGTCTGCATAGCAGTGGTAGGAGAAGCCATGTGATCGAATGATCTCACCCAGTGAGGTGGTGTATATGGCAAAGAGAAGAGGTCCTAGAACAGAGCCCTGGGGGACTCCTGTGGCAAGATGGTGCATGGTAGAGGATTGTCCAAGCCAAGATACAGTGATCCCTCGCTACTTCGCGGTTCGTTTATCGTGGATTCACGACTTTGCAGATTTTTTCTTTGGAGCCTTATTCAAGGGAAATTCGCCGATTCGCGGAATTTTTCACCGATTCGCCGTATTTTTCTGTCATGTTTTGGGGTAAGTGTCTAACCAAAGACATACAGAATCAGACTCGAGTCGAGGTAAAAGATAAACAATAATTTTATTTCTTTAATGATGAGAACTGAGGGCGCACTGGTGATCCAGTGGAGGGTAAACCAGGAAGCGGCAAAATGCGGAAGTTCAGGGTGAATGTGGAGTTGAGCCGGGGTGATATCCAGAGGCGAATTGTAGATTTCCAGGTGGCAGAGTAGACGGATGAGGAGGATGAGGTAACGGAGAGGGAGCGTGAGCACGGTGGAGAGCGGGACGGCAGAACGGAGTTGGTATCCAGGCAGCGAACCGGTGAGTATCCAGAAGTCTCCAAGATGGGAGAGAATCCGGAGGAGAAGCGAGTCAGGCAGTAGTTAATCATACGGCGTGGTATCTGGATAACCGTCCTCCTTTTAAAGCCGTCCCGCTGATCAGGCTGATGAGGATCAGCTGCGCTCCCTCTCCTGTTAAATAAATACTGTAAATATGGTGTCCCTACTTCGCGGATTTTCACCTATCGCGGCCAGGTCTGGAACGCATCTACCGCGATAAATGAGGGATCACTGTACACTAAATGATCGTCCTGTGAGGTACGATTCAAACCAGGCATGTGCTTTCTCTGTGATGCCCATGCTAGAGAGTGTGGACAAAAGGAAGCCATGTTTGACAGTGTCAAATGCAGCCGATAAGTCGAGCAGGATAAGCACTGAGGATTTGGCAGTTGCTCTAGCTTCTTTTAAGGATTCCATCACTGCTAAAAGAGCAGTTTCAGTGGAGTGGCCCTTTTTGAACCCAGATTGGTAAGGGTCAAGCAGACAGTTTTGTGAGAGGTATTCTGTGATCTGCATGAAAGCCACCTTTTCTGTGATTTTGGACAGAAAAAGGAGGAGAGAGATAGGTCGGTAGTTCTCCACATGATTTGGAGGAAGAGATGGTTTTTTTTTTTAGCAGAGGTTTAACCAGAGCATGCTTGACAGAGATAGGAAATCCGGATGTCAGTGAAGCGTTGATCACATAAGTGCCTGCTGCAGCTACTGTAGGAGCAATAGCTTGGAGCAGCTTAGTCGGAATGGGGTCCTGGGCATGTAGTAGGGCGGCTGCACGTGACAAGCTTGGACACACAGTTCTCAAGTGAGAGGGGAAAAAGAGGAAAATGAAGCAGTAGGGCCTGAGATGGTTGGGCTAGAAGGAGATTGTGGAAGCGAATGTTCAGGAGTGGCCAGTTGAGTAAACTGATAGCTTATAGCTGCCAGTCAGTGAAGAATGAGGCAAAGGTGACTGCTGATAGATTGTTGGTAGGAGGTGGAGAAGGAGGGTTGAGCAGAGTTTTGAATGTCGAAAATAGTTTTTTGAGAGTCAGTAGAGCTGAGAAGAGCTACTTGTGATTATAGCTGCAGCAACACCAGTAGAGATGGTGACATTGTTACCTTTAGAACACGTTTGTATGTCACATATTTTTGCTCCAGTTACAAACGCTAATGATTGATTCCATCCCGCTACGTTAGAGTGGAGTTTACAGACATATATATGACAACAACCATCTACCAGGCTGGTCCCACTTCACCACCATGATGGAAAAGAAGAGTTACACAACTTTTAAGATGTGTGTGTGTGTCAGTTTCTCTCTAGATACAAATAAAATAAACATTAGAATAAAATGCATTTATGAAAAAATAAAAAGGTCGCTGACTGAACAATCAAGAAACCTAATAGTTTTAAAGCATAAAACATTTTCTTTGTGTTAAAACTTAACCTACTTTATTTAATTTAACAGAATTATTAATCTGGTAAATAAACTAACTTTAATATCTTTTATCTTTACACTAAAGCAGACCCTCAGAGCTGCCGATGATCCCTGACTGCTAATGTGTGGACTAGCCGTGCTACAAAGGCGTACCTTGGTGTGTCCTGCTATTTCCTGAGTGAAGATTGGAAGATGAAGCACTTCAACCTTGCCACCATGCCTCTTGTGAACACAAGTCATTTTTGGTTTTAGGTGCCTACCTCCATGTAGTTGTAGCATTTGTATCAACAGGTTACAAGTTAATTAAAGTTGTTTGCTAAGCTATCATCTTGTCTTTATTATTAGATGGCCCATAGCAGATCACACTTCAGACTAGAAGCTAATGATGGTATATTAGTGCATCCTGGTGCAATAAGCTAAACTTTTATAAATGACACGATTAGTCGACTACTAAAATAGCCATTTGTGGAAGCCCTAAAGACGTTGCAGCAAGAAGAGGCGGAGAAAAAAAATCAAAATACCAAAAATAAAATGGCCAGGGGTGCATGTAAAATATTTTCTACATTTTTAAAAAATATATATATATTTTTCAATAATTATCAATTATGATCAATTTAAAACAACATTTATCTACATACTTTTTTGCTATATCATCCAGCCCCACTCTAATAGGCCATTGGACGCTTTTCTTTAGACTTTCAGCCCCATGTGCTGAGAGTTCAGACTTTGGCTCCAAAATACAACTTGGCAGTGGCCAGAAAGAAATTTTGGCTTAATTTTGGGACAACAGTCTGTAAAGCTGCTGCCATGTGACCCCTGCACTTTATCATGTGACAGTAACATGAAGAACATCCTGCAGTCAACAGAGTTGCTCTGCTGAGCTCACACCTTTGTTACAGGACTTCTTGAGTCTTCTAGTCCGACATTAGTGCAGTAATGAGGGAGAACTACATCTATTCATCTTTCTATTCATGCATGCGCACTTTATACCTGCTTTATACATTTGGTGAGATGGAGTACATCTGGACAGGTCATCAGAGAACCAACACAACCATCTACACAGCTACTTTCACCTAATACCATTTTAAATCGCTGTTTTAATGGTGGTATTAGTTAATGTGAGACACAAAGACTTAGCAGCACAGTAGATTGTTTTAGTAATGAACAGGTCATAGTGTGGTATTTAGCATGATGGAACTTGTGTGTAGAAATGTTCTTAAACATAACACGTCTGACCATGCGTACGAACAGCATCTAATAGTAAAATGGTGTAACCGTAGTATTGAAGGTCTCAGTCATCCACGATTCTCCTCATCCACAAATTATTTTTACCCAATCAGTAATTATGTCTGTGGAGAAACAGTTTTTGTCGTGTAATTGATATTGGAACCGATAAAAAGGCATCTGTGACCGACGGGAAGCTGACATTGTAGCATGGTAGATCTGTTGTTGTTGGAAGATTTAGCAGACCGTGTTCTCTAGTGGACATTTTCCCTGTAGTGAGAATCTAGAGGTGCTTTTGAGTAGATGCTGCCTCCTGACAGAGATCCTTCTGGAGCTGTGACATGATTTGAGACCCTTTGTGGAGCCACTGACAAACCACACTAATCTAATTCCAGTCCAACTTTGTGATTTCTTGCCACTGTGATTTCTTGCCACTGGGACCTTCCAACATGAGTTAGCTGACAGACTGGGCCATTGCTGCCATCAGTGAGCTGCATTATGCCCTCATGAATACAGTGGCATTTTAATGGTGAAAAATCAGGCAGATTGTTTCCTATCTTGATTTGTTCTCAGTTTAACCCTCCCACTGTCCTAATGGGTGACCCCCGCAAGGAAAGTTGACCATTGAGCAGGATTGATGGTTTATCTCTTGAGGTCCACGTGGCAGGGGGTGAGGTGGTGCTTACTCCTCACCAATGCCAGCTGTTAGCTTTCTCAGCAACCTTACTAAAGGAACTTTTCTTTCCAGTACAGGAGGGGCCTCTGGTTTATTACGGTTAAAAAGCATTAATCAAGCTAGTTAAAGTTGGGTTGCTATAACACACTGGCAAATAATTTAGTTCCAAACCAAAACCTGAAATAATAGACAGCTAAAGAATATTCTAACCAGTAAATAGTTGTAAATTAAATTTTTCATATATGTTGGTAGTACGTCCATTCCAAGCATTAGCCTGACCCAGGTTCAGTTTACTGGCAATCACAGACGTTTTTAATTCAAACAAAGCTGTTTAGTGTCAGTACTGATTATGTTTGGTTAAAAATATAAATTTGTTATATATGATCTTGAAGTTATAAGTAGAAATGTCTAAACAAATTTAATACAACACTAAATCAGTGAATATTTTGTTTGATTACCAGCTGCCTTCTGCCTTCATGGTGACCAAAATCCTAAAGATGTTTCTAAAACAATTTTTTTGACAAAATAAAAAAAATTGTCTGTTATTTGTATTTTCTTTTCAAGAAAAATAAGGGAGAAAAATAATAAAATTCAATTAGAATTTGGAAGAAAAAATCTGAGATTTTATTTTTAAGCCATATTTAAGTCCTATAGGATAATTAAGAAATACTTACCATTATCTCTTCCTGTTCTTCTTCCTTCTGCTCATTATCTACAAAAAAGAACATGTAAATGTGAAGGAATTTGCCCCCAGTGCATTCATTTCTAAGGTGCTTACCCAACTAAACAGCACATTTTATCAAGCTTTTTTGCAAAATCAGACACATGATATAGCATAATTAATATATGAATATAATGAAACAAAATAAATTAAAATATAAAGTACAATCAGGAAGGCTAGAAAAGTCAATAGTAATCCCAAGTGATCTGTTTTCAATTGTACGCCCGTTGTGTTAACCGTAAGCTGAACAAAAACGGGCATAGTTGCTCACTCTGCATTGACTGTGGACAGTGAGGAGACCCATCCAATACAGCGACAAAGCTGTTACGTTCTCCAGTGGCCAATGGGGCATCTACGTATTCATGGCTATGATTGGAAGTATTTTCCTTGTTTTAGGTAATGCTTCCAGGGTTTTTCCTGGCTCAAACTGAGGCAGAGGTGGTACCATCTTGACCATGCACCAGCACATGCATATTGTGTGCATTCAACTGCCTCACTTTTTTAAAGGCAAAAATATTTTTTCATTAAGTGTTCTCATCTAAGTTTCTGTTGATTAATTGAATATCCCATTTGACAACGTTTCAAGTGAAACAAAACTGGTTTGCTGCTAAAACATTTGAAATAAAACAACAAAATTATCAGGCTGAAACAACAGACTTATTATAAAAGGTTCAATAATATGCATTAGATTGTGATTTAGTTCCTTTTTCCCATCTGATATTTAAAGTTTAAAATATTTTTAAAAATCGACCTACATTTGAGTAACAATTTAGGTTTTCATTAATAACCCTCACCTTAGTCAAAATAACACATAAATATATCCAGTAAAATATAATGGATTTCATTAACATGCATTTGTATTGGAAATGGTAAGAACATTTAATTTCTGCTGCTAACAATGTAATGGTGGCATTAGGGTTGTCACGGTAACCAGTGTAGTGGTAAATCCCGGTAAAAAAGTGGACAATAATAATAATCGTCTTGTTTTAAAAAAATATATTATCTCGGTGGATTACCGTGGCTGCAATGTAGGCGCGGTGACCCTTACCGACCACCGTATCATCTGCTGCAGTTGCCTGCAGCACATGCGCACTTTGTTGTTTACAACCAAAACTTTCTTGAGGCTAAAGCCGAAATAATGGCCAGAGGAGGAGACGGCAGCGCTCAGGACATTTATTATCTCTCAGAGAAGACAAAGTTGGAAGTATGGGCATTTTTTTGGATATATGAAGAATGCCGAGGGACAGTTGATAGAAGACGGCTATCCTGTTTGCAGCACGTGCAGAAAAAGTGTCTGTGAAAGGCAGCAACACTTCAAATTTCATGACACATCTGCGTGACCATCACCCACAACTCTACAGTCAACGCAAGGCAAGTTAACATTAGCATTTTAGCTAAAATGCGTGATCCGAGGATTTGGGTTGAGGGAGAATGCAACGATTCACTATATAAAGCAGCCACAGCGCCGCTACCTGCATATAAAAAATTGTCGCGGACACCCCCATATTGAAATGACGCTATGCATTACTGGGCTCCCAGGGGCAGATAAGAGTTGGTCTCTCACGTGGCGGCCACACAAATTTGAACGCAGGAAAAACCCTAGCTTCTCTTCTACAGCTGTATATTTAGTGTGTATTAAAAGTAAAATATGAAATAAAACTTGGCTGAGTGGAAGACAAAAATGAGCTATGAGTACTGCCGGTAACCGGCAGAATGCTGTTGTGGTTTAATGTTCACAAGCTTGTAGTCAACTTTATAGACCGTCTTAAACTATCAGCTGATTGTTTGCTTAACAGATTAAATTGTTCTCCTGTATGGGAGTCAGACAATTTCACTCTGTACAAGGAGCACAGGAGATGAGACTGAGCTGCAGGTTACAGTGTTAGTCTGTGCAGCTAAATTTTCCATCAAAAAGTACCATGTTCAATAAAATAATTTTATTTAAAAAATATTCATGTGTTGTGGTTAAAATTGTGGGTCCTTAGTGTAAAAGTTTCAAATACATTAGGTATTTTGACTGTAAAAATTAATTAACTTAATTCACTAACCTATCAGCAATACTTACAGCGTTTGTTTGTCAAATAAAAATCACAAAAAGATAATCTCACAGTGGTAAACTACTCAATGTCCACCCACAGGCTGTTGGCTTACTCAGTTACTGTACATTGACCATTTACTGCACACAGGTCTACAATGCAGTTTAGTATTAGTAATTACACATTACAGGTTGATGCAGCAGTTTATTTTCTTATTCTCTGTGTGACTTAAAATAATTAAAACTAATTAAACTGCTAATGCACCTCAGTGCTTTTTTGCTGGCATAGTTCCAGGATGAACGCACTTCCGGTAATCATTGTAGTTCTGGACCAGTACTGGTATGTTCAGAGAAGCAAACTCATAGATTGGAAGCAAATGTCTTCTTTACAGTTTGAATTGACTAGAAAGTCAAAGGCAATAGTTTGGGCTACAAGTCCTTTTGTCAATATGTCATGCTAAATCCCGGTTAGCAAGCTAAAACAGTGGGTTGAAGTTTGCAGCAAAGCAAGTACATTCAAAGCAATAAAAAGGATCCCTGCAGTGGTTTAAGGAATAAAGTAAGATAATTCAACTGTTCTGAAAACAAATAAAAGATAAAAATGATCCCCTGATTTTACTTTGTCAAGCTTACAACACAGGCTACACGAAACTACACCAGTTGTCAATCTTTTTTGACAAAATAAACAAAATACATACAGACAAACACCTCACACAGTTAACTATGAATAAAAATAAATCTTACCTGGTTTAGTTGCAGACTTTTTTCTGGTTCCAAACACTGAAACAGTTTCCATCTGCTTCTCCGATGCTCTGCAGCTGCGTGAATCCCCTCACTGATGTTGCTTTCAGGAGCACTGGGAAAGTTGAGAACTGCGTGCAGATCTCCACGTTTTAATAGATTAAAAATATTTCTTTTGAAAAATTGCTCATGTAATGACTTTTAAGGAAATTGTTATGCACTTTTTAACACAGTGTGAAATTTATATTTAAAAAGACAGGGTTCAGATTTGATGTTGAGTGTAACTAGTGTACTGGTAGTTACACATTTTCCTTGAATGCAGCAGAGGTTTAAGAGTTAGCCAGTCCACTGTTTAATGCCACCCATCCCCCACCCTGAGTTAGCCAGTCCACTGTTTAATGCCACCCATCCCCCACCCTGACTTCTTGTTGATGAGTGCCTCTGAACTCAAGAGAAACAACCTGTACAGACAGTTTGGATTGAAAAGGGCCACGTCTCCCTCACCCTGCCTCAATGTTCATGACTTGACCCTGTAGAAAAAACATTCCCCTTTACATTTTCAACTAGAAATAAAGACTAAAAAAAATTAAATGATTGGTTTTTTTTTTATCTGAAACCAAAATTTTTAAAAACACCTTCTTTTACATGCTTTTATTTTTAAGCTCACATAAAACTTAGCAAATGGGAGAACAGGATACAGGACTAACTTTGAGTTTAATATTCAATTACCTGTCGGTAAATTCTATTTCTAAATTTTTATTTGATATAAGTTCTTTAACTTCAGACTTGGACTTTCATCATAATGAACTATTGTGGGGCTTGATGGTGGTGAAATTAGTAGCAATGTTGCCTCATAGCAAATAAGCCACCTGTTTCAATCCAGCTTGCGTGGCCTTTTTGTGTGGAGGTAGCATGTTCTCCCTATGTAAGCGCTGGTTTCTTTCCACAGACCAAAAACATGCACATCAATCAAGGTAACTGGTGAATCTAAATTGTCCCTAGTTATGAGTGATTATGCGACTGGTTGTTTGTCCCAGGGTGTGTCTCTGTGATGGACTGAGGCTTGTCCAGTGTTTCTCTTGCCCTGCAACACTAGTGAGAATGATGTAGTTAAAAAATTATTAAATATTGTGAAGACTATTAAAATATACACATGAAACACAACCTATACTTTTTAAGTAATAATATATGCAAACTCCTTGATGAAAATATTAATTAATAGACTTCCTTCACATGTAGCAACACTATAAAACCACATGTAGACTAAAATGAAAAAAATTGAAGCCAAAGATAAATGTATTGATGTGGTGGCCACCAGCAATTTCACACTGACAACAAGACTGTAATGATAAGTTTTAAGTGCTCACCACATTTCGTCTTAATTGGACGATGGAAGGTGGGTCAAAAAATCCCTACATGCAAGAGCTAAAGGCCCAAAATGGAGCCTGAACTAGATTTGACCCCCTTTTTGGCTGCTGTTCGGCTTACGTTTGTCCAAGGCGCACACAACTTTTTTTGGTGCATCCCGGTTCTGGCCCAAACCATACACGTCAAAGTCATGCTGGTCGGAACCCTTTGAGGGTCCGTTTGGGCCGTGTGGGCAGTTTTCCCGCCTTTCTTGCCATGTGGTCTCAAATGTGGCATTTTTTCAGCCGATTTTCACCAAACAAACACCGATTCCGCATGCAGGCACCACCCCGAGCAAGCCCTGGCAATTTTTTTGCCGTAGCTCATCGTTTAAGTGCTCTTTTGGCCTTGTGGGCACTCGACCGGCAGGTGACTGGGGTCATTCTCTTTAATAGTGATTACTCCTCAACGGAACGGCCAATTGGCCCGATTTTCAGAAGGTATTTCCTCATGGGGCAGCACAATCAGAATCCAGTGTCAAATTCCCAGAAACCCCCCAGAAAAAAATCCTATGTCTGATTTCAGCCACAAAATAGGTTCTTGGACACATAGCTCCAAAAAAGACCTGATGATTCAGTTGGTCCAAAGTAGAAAAAATTTCTGCTTGTGCCAGTGACCCCATCTTTTAGTATGTTGATCTGGGGCCTGGGACGAGTCCACCTGAGGTGGTGCATGCCAAAGTCTTTTGTGGTTTCCAAGATATAGCCCCCCAAAACCCACACTTTTCACTGTTAGGAGGTGGCATAATTTTGGTGCCATGCGTGCCATTGAGCTGCTTGAAAAGACTGAAACTTAGGCCAAATTGAAGGGTTAAGCATCCCTTTCCCCTGCTTGTTTGCTTTGTAACTAGGACAAAGGTGAACCTCATTAAGGTGTACCTTTAATATTCAGCCGCTGAAACTTAGCTTCTGATTAACCTTGAAATTTTTACTGTAGCTTCAGGTGACCCTCTGGTCCGACCCTCCCATTTTATAGGCTGCTAGGCCATACAGAAAGGTTAAAGGTCACAAAACATTTTAGGCCTTTTTCATTTTGGGCTCATTTAAAAGACAGAAACGTAGGCCAAAATGAATTTTTAGGCATTTTTCAGGTAATATATTAGCCCCTGAACAAGATAAAAATCTGGAAATATTGGTAAGAGTCGCTACTGATAAGTTGTAAGTGCTCACCACGTTTCGTCTTAATTGGACGATGGAAGGTGGGTCGAAAAATCCCTACATGCAAGAGCTAAAGGCCCGAAATGGAGCCTGAACTAGATTTGACCCCTTTTTTGGCTGCTGTTCGGCTTACGTTTGTCCGAGGCGCACACAACTTTTTTTGGTGCATCCCGGTTCTGGCCCAAACCATACACGTCAAAGTCATGCTGGTCGGAACCCTTTGAGGGTCCGTTTGGACCGTGTGGGCAGTTTTCCCGCCTTTCTTGCCATGTGGTCTCAAATGTGGCATTTTTTCAGCCGATTTTCACCAAACAAACACCGATTCCGCATGCAGGCACCACCCCGAGCAAGCCCTGGCAATTTTTTAGCCGTAGCTCATCGTTTAAGTGCTCTTTTGTCCTTGTGGGCACTCGACCGGCAGGTGACTGGGGTCATTCTCTTTAATTGTGATTACTCCTCAACGAAACAGCCAATTGGCCCCATTTTCAGAGGGTATTTCCTCATGGGGCAGCACATTCAGAATTCAGTGTCAAATTCCCAGAAACCCCCCAGAAAAAAAATCCTATGTCTGATTTCAGCCACAAAATAGGTTCTTGGACACATAGCTCCAAAAAAGACCTGATGATTCAGTTGGTCCAAAGTAGAAAAAAATTTCTGCTTGTGCCAGTGACCCCATCTTTCAGTATGTTGATCTGGGGCCTGGGACGAGTCCACCTGAGTTGGTGCATGCCAAAGTCTTTTGTGGTTTCCAAGATATAGCCCCCCAAAACCCACACTTTTCACTGTTAGGAGGTGGCATAATTTTGGCGCCATGCATGCCATTGAGCTGCTTGAAAAGACTGAAACTTAGGCCGAATTGAAGGGTTAAGCGTCCCTTTCCCCTGCTTGTTTGCTTTGTAACTAGGACAAAGGTGAACCTCATTAAGGTGTACCTTTAATATTCAGCCGCTGAAACTCGAATTCTGACTAACCTTGAAATTTTTACTGTAGCTTCAGGTGACCCTCTGGTCCGACCCCCCCATTTTATAGGCTGCTAGGCCATACAGAAAGGTTAAAGGTCACAAAACATTTTAGGCCTTTTTCATTTTGGGCTCATTTAAAAGACAGAAACGTAGGCCAAAATTAATTTTTAGGCATTTTTCAGGTAATATATCAGCCCCTGAACAAGAAAAATATCTGGAAATATTGGTGAGAGTCACTACTGATAAGTTGTAAGTGCTCACCACGTTTCGTCTTAATTGGACGATGGAAGGTGGGTCGAAAAATCCCTACATGCAAGCGCTAAAGGCCCGAAATGGAGCCTGAACTAGATTTGACCCCCTTTTTGGCTGCTGTTCGGCTTACGTTTGTCCGAGGTGCACACAACTTTTTTTAGTGCATCTCGGTTCTAGCCCAAACCATACACGTCAAAGTCATGCTGGTCGGAACCCTTTAAGGGTTTCTTTGGGCCGTGTGGGCAGTCTTCCCGCCTTTCTTGCCATGTGGTCTCAAATGTGGCAGTTTTTCAGCAGATTTTCACCAAACAAACTCAGATTCCGCATGCAGGCACCACCCCGAACAAGCCCTGGCAATTTCGTAGCTGTAGCTCGTCGTTTGAGTGCTCTTTTGGCCTTGTGGGCACTCGACAGGCAGGTGACTGGGGTCATTCACTTTTATAGCGATTACTCCTCAACGGAACGGCCAATTGGCCCCATTTTCAGATGGTATGTCCCCATGGGGCAGCACAATCAGAATTCAGTGTCAAATTCCCAGAAACCCCCCAGAAAAAAAATCCTATGTCTGATTTCAGCCACAAAATAGGGTCTTGGACACATAGCTCCAAAAAAGACCTGATGATTCAGTTGGTCCAAAGTAGAAAAAAATTTCTGCTTGTGCCAGTGACCCCATCTTTTAGTATGTTGATCTGGGGCCTGGGACGAGTCCACCTGAGGTGGTGCATGCCAAAGTCTTTTGTGGTTTCCAAGATATAGCCCCCCAAAACCCACACTTTTCACTGTTAGGAGGTGGCATAATTTTGGTGCCATGCGTGCCATTGAGCTGCTTGAAAAGACTGAAACTTGGGCCAAATTGAAGGGTTAAGCATCCCTTTCCCCTGCTTGTTTGCTTTGTAACTAGGACAAAGGTGAACCTCATTAAAGTGTACCTTTAATATTCAGCCGCTGAAACTCGAATTCTGACTAACCTTGAAATTTTTACTGTAGCTTCAGGTGACCCTCTGGTCCGACCCCCCCCCCCCCCATTTTATAGGCTGCTAGGCCATACAGAAAGGTTAAAGGTCACAAAACATTTTAGGCCTTTTTCATTTTGGGCTCATTTAAAAGACAGAAATGTAGGCCAAAATGAATTTTTAGGCATTTTTCAGGTAATATATCAGCCCCTGAACAAGATAAAAATCTGGAAATATTGGTAAGAGTCGCTACTGATAAGTTGTAAGTGCTCACCACGTTTTGTCTTAATTGGACGATGGAAGGTGGGTCGAAAAATCCCTACATGCAAGAGCTAAAGGCCCGAAATGGAGCCTGAACTAGATTTGGCCCCCTTTTTGGCTGCTGTTCGGCTTACGTTTGTCCGAGGCGCACACAACTTTTTTTAGTGCATCCCGGTTCTAGCCCAAACCATACACGTCAAAGTCATGCTGGTCGGAACCCTTTAAGGGTTTGTTTGGGCCGTGTGGGCAGTCTTCCTGCCTTTCTTGCCATGTGGTCTCAAATGTGGCATTTTTTCAGCAGATTTTCACCAAACAACCTCAGATTCCGCATGCAGGCACCACCCCGAGCAAGCCCTGGCAATTTCGTAGCTGTAGCTTGTCGTTTGAGTGCTCT